CTTAAGTTATACTTCTTGATAATAGTCTTTTATATATGTAAATCATAACTTATCTACTGATAAAAGAGAAAAGCAAAACCATAAAGAATAACAGTACAGCTGGGCACCGGTGGCTCACGCCTGTAATCCTATCTACTGAGGAGGCTGAGATCTGAGGATCACAGTTCAAAGCCAGCCTGGGCAGGAAAGTCCATGAAACTCATCTCCAATAAACCACCAGAAAACTGGAAGTGGCTCAGGTGGTAGAGCGCATTTGCCTTGAGCTGAAGAGTGCAGGGACAGTGCCTGAGCCAGAGTTCAAGCCCCACGACTGACAAAAAAAAAAAAAAAGAAGAAGGCAAGTACAGGGTCTCATATAATTAAATATAATAAATAGGATAGGTACAGCATTACTCCATATTAATGTCTGAGGAAGTAACTCAGAGTTACTTTATAGTGAGTATGTTGATTAATAGCTATCATAAACCACTAGTAAAATTCAGTAGAATTTATTATTTTGAGTCAAAAAGGTAAATAAATGTAAAATATATTTAAAATTATTTCACCCAAAGTGGTAAAACTGAAAACTGGTATCAGTTCTGTATAAACTTTAGGCTTTGGAGCTATTTGGTCTCTGTTGCAGCTATTTAACTCTTCATGTGTAAAGTAGAAGTATGCTTATGTTCCAATAAAATTCTATTAAACCGCTGGGCCCTGGTGGCTCACGCCTGTAATCCTAGCTATTCAGGAGGCTGAGATCTGAGGATTGTGGGTAAAAGCCAGCCTGGACAGGAAAGTCCATGAGACTCTTATCTCAAATAAACCACTAGAAAACCGGAAATAGTGCTGTGGCTCAAGTGGTAGAGCACTTGCCTTGAGCTGAAGAGCTGAGGGACAGTGCCCAGACCCACAGTTCAAGCCCTATGAACGACAAAAAAAAAAAAAATTCCATTAAACCATTCTTAGCCAGTCTTTGATTTAGAGAAAATTGTTAGAACTCTGGGAAACCTGAGTGTTCAGTATGGCTCATGCTAAGGCAGACAAAAATACATAAAGTCACATTCAGTATAATGATATTTAGTCAATGATTGGCCACATATACAGTAATGGTTCCATAATGCTGTATTATCTGGGGCTAGTGTAGCTGTCTTTAAGAACATACTATAATATTCACTTAAACGTGCATTACTTCCCAGACAGTCCTCGAATAACAAGCAGGTTATATCCCCAAAATCTCATGGTAAGTAGAAAAGACTACAAGGCAAAATCACATATCTTTCCTTTAGAAATGTAATCAGTCTATGGTAGATGTCAGTTGTTTGTTCCATTATGGCAGGGCTGTCTGAGAGTATATCTTGCTGCCATTGAAAGTATCTTGATCATAGACAGAATCATGCTGCATATTGCTGTTATAGGAAGAGCTTCAAATTCGAAGTATGGTTCATGTGTGCATTTTTGTAAAGTTCATGTTTTCCTTATAATAGTGGACTATCTGATAGAAAACAAAATGAGGGTTTTTTTTTACATGTCTTGTTTAAAAATGGAGAGATACTGGGCTGAGTGGCTTTTTAAAAATTACATTGAGTACTGTGAATGTGACTTAGTGGTAGAGTGCTTGCCTATCATGCATGACGCCCTGGGTTTGATTCCTCAGTACCAATAAATACATAGAAAGAGCCAGAAGTGGCACTGTGCCTCAGTTGGTAGAATGCTAGCTTTGAACAAAAGAAGCTCAGGGACAGTGCCCAGGCCCTGAGTTCAAGCCCCAGGACTGGCAAAAAAAAAAAAAAATTACATTGAAGTATTGGAGGTGTGCTTTTAGCAATAGTGCGCTAGCCTAGCAAGTGTAAGACCCTGAGTTCACACCCCACAGCGAAAAATGAAAAAGTTTGAAACTGCCCTGAAATACAGAAGGCCTCCTTGCCTGTGGAGATGTCCGTGCTGTGTACACTTTGTGTACACACTTTATATACTTTCCTCTGTGTGCATAACACAATGCTTAATTTATATATTGGAAGCTTTAAAATTTTAATAACATAAAGCAGCTCTAGCAATCTGCTGTTGAACATGTCATGTGAGTGTTGGCTCTAGTGTTCTGTAGTGTCCTCACCTGTGGCGTGAGGCAAAGCAGCACCTGTGTGGTGAGACGGACAAGGTGAATGATGTAGGGATGGAGAATGTAAGGGGGAGGCAGCGTTTCTCAGCACACTAGTACTTGAAAATATGTCCGGGCACCGGTGGCTCAGGCCTATAATCCTAGCTACTCAGGAGGCTGAGATCTGAAGATCCTTGTTCAAAACCAGCCCAGGTAGGAAGTCTATGAGACTCATTCCAGTGAATCACCAGAAAACTGGAAGTAGCACTGTGGCTCAAGTGGTAGAACACTAGCCTTCAGCACAAAGAGACTCAGGGACAGGGCCTAGTCCCTGAGTTCAAGCCCCAGGACCAGCAAAAATAAATAAATTAATTAATTAAATAAAACAACGTTTTTTAAGTTTTGATACTTTGCAACATGTCTTCTTAGGGATCTCTTTGACTTCTGCTTAGAGTATGTTGGGATTCTTTAATGTGTATATTGATATCTTCAGATTTAGATTTTTCCATTGAATCTTCAATTATTACTGAATCTTAAGTGCTGAAATCTTCTCTTTATGTCCTATGCATCTTAGGTGCATAACCACTGTGTGTGGTCAGTAAAGTCTGTTCTATCATCTCTTCACTCAGCTAGTGACCTAATAATTAGATGATTTCAAAGGGGTTCAAAAAAAATGAGGAAAACTAACACATACTGTCTTTATTAATCCCTTGGAAGCTACAGAAGCCAAGGATGATTGAAGAGTGGTGGCTAGCCTTTGTGCCAGCCCCTCAGTAGTCTATGAGACTGTTACATCCAAACACCACCAAAAAGCCAAAAGTAGAACTATGGTTCAAGTGGTAAAACACTAGCCTTGTGCACAAAAGCTCAGGGACAGCATTTGGGCCTTGGAGTTTAAGTCCCAGGTCCGGCACCAAAAAACAAGCCCAAGGATGCTTCATCTGTTACTTGAAGAGTAGATTCTTATTGCCTGTTTTGTCTCCAGGGTCCTGTAGTTACTGGTATAGTGGACAGGTAATGAATGATAGTAACTACTGCCATGGAAAGACTGAAGCTTAACTTCAATACATACCAGAGTTCGAAAATAGTTTCTTCAGATATTTTCTGTAGTTATATCTTTCTCTCAGTTCTGTATATTTGATTTCTTCCTTTTTATAGATAACATACCTAAATTGTAGAAGCATTACTATATACAAAAATAATATAGATTTAGTTGTACTCTATAAATTATAATTATATATTGTAATTGTTGGGAAAATGGAGGAGAATAGAAAAGGAATAGGTCAGACTCGATTGTCAACAGGTAAGGACTGTTTATTGAGGAACAGCGAGGGGCACAGACCTTCCTGCAGGTTTGGAGGTTGTGCAAGGGACTGGATTTGGGGGGTGGGCTTATATAGATCTTAACAAGGAAGCAGAAGATAAAAATGGGCTATGGTCTCTTGGAAGCCAAGAGCAATGTCCTTGGCCAGGCCCACAGTGGAATGCTGTGGTGTAGGGGCCATTGTCTCCTAGGGACCAAGGACGGAATGACTTGCCTGTGGATAAGCGCATGAGCACGCAACTAGTGCTTTGCTTGACCCAGGGGAATAAGGCAGGACTCAATCCTTCATATTCCATCCTTGGATACATAAAAAGATTGAGCAGAGGCGGGAGAGGCAGATCCTTCAGTAATTATATTCAGTTATATGTTATTATAAATCTGCTATCACAGATATTTTGTATGTATATGAACACACTTCAGTAATTATATTCAGTTATATGTTATTATAAATCTGCTATCACAGATATTTTGTGTGTATATGAATACACACGTCACTTAGGACACATGATTGGAGTTTTACTCAGAAAGTGCACTGTAACTTCCATGTCTTGTTGACTAATCTGGAAGCTGAAAAATAATGTGACTGCTTTCACATCTCAGTAAAATCTGGGTCATGTCTTACACAAGTTCAAACCCAAAGATCTCTTCTGTCATTTAAAGGAACCTGGATTGGACATACCTTAGCATCTGCAAAAAACAACCTGCCAGATAGTGTGTTATCTATGCTGAGTGTTAGTAATAATAGAAAAAAGAGAATTAAAAAACTGAAGAAGTGGCGGGAAAGTGAGATTTCCAGATACAAACATAGCAGCTTTATATTACATTCCCACTTACGGAACAGAAGCCACTATGTGATCTCAAAGCCCAATAAAGAATTAAAATTTTACATTTTGAACATTAGGTGATTTCATTGTTGTTTCTCAGAACAACAATGTTTGGTTTTGTTTTGGTAGTACAAGGTTTGAAATGGAAGCTTTTTCTTTCTAGAGAGGCACTATACCACCCGAACCATCCCTCTAACCATTTTTGCTTTTGTTATTTTTACATAGTGTCTCATATTTTGCTCATGATAGCCTGCCTGTACGATGATCATTGTATGTATTATTTTCTGTATAGCTGGGAAGGCAGGTGTGTACCACTATCCCCAGCTATTGGTTGAGATATGGGAGTTCGTTAACTTTTGCCCTGCTTAGCATCTAATTACAATCCTTTGGTCTCTGCTTCCAAAATAGCTAGGTTTAGTAGCCACTGTGCCTAACTAATAGTTCATTTTTGGCCTCAGTTGTTACTAACTAGATACCATGTATGCTTATTTCAAATTTATTCTTCTTAAAACTATAAGACATTTATTTGTACAGCACAACTACTTTCTAATGTTATCATTGTACTAATGTGGACACTTACTTGAAGATTATAGACTTTCATACGCTATTTTAAAACTTTACTGACAGACCACCTACTTTAAAAAAAATCCTTTTCTCTTTAATTGTACTCTTAGTGAAATGTGTGGGCTTACATAACACATGACAACTTGAAAAAACTATTGGGTATAAAAAGGTTGATGTTGCAGTACTGAGGTTGGGCTTACTTAGGATTTGTGAATAGGTACTATAGCTAAGTGTATCTTTCCCTATTGCAGGATGACGTAGCTTTGCCAAGGACTCAAGACGCTAAGCAGAAAATGAGCTTAACATCCTGGTTTTTGGTGAGCAGTGGAGGCACTCGCCACAGGCTGCCTCGGGAAATGATTTTTGTTGGGAGAGATGACTGCGAGCTCATGCTGCAGGTATGTTCTGCCTTTTGTATGTCACTACTCACCTCAAAAAAACAAACAAAATAAAAACTCAACTATTTATTTATTTAGGATCTGGTCGTGGGACCTGAACTCTGGGCCTGGGCGCTGTCCCTCAGCTCTTCAGCTCAAGGCTAGCTCTCTACCACTTGAGCCACAGTGCCACTTCTGGCTTTTTTCTTTTTGCTTATGTGGTGCTGAGGAATCAAACCCAAGGCCTCATGCATGCAAGGCAAGCGCTCTACCACTGAGTCGCCTTCCCAGCCCCTGGTTTGTTTTTTTTTTAATACATTTTTTATTGTAAAAATACTGTACAGAAGGGTTACAGTTACATGAGTAAGGTAATGAGTACATTTCCTATCAAGCATTGTTACCTTCTTTGTTTTTCCCCTACCCTCCCTGCCATCCCTCCTCCACATCTTGAGCACAAGTTTTTGAATGGGGAGCAGAATACCCTAGGTATATTCCAATTGGGATACCTTTTTCCTCACCCTGATGGAGGCATGTGATGTTTCCCTGTCTTTGCCTTGATGTACATACATGTTGGGCTTCTGGAAATAAGACGTTATGAAAAGAAAAGATGATGGCCTCATTTAGATTGTGCTATGAATTTTTATGTCTCAAGCCGTCTGCCTCTTGGCAAGCTGTTGTTCTCTTTTCACTTATCCCCATACTTCCCACTTGGCAGCTTGCCTTCTGCGATGAGGTGTTACTGTTGTTTTTATTGTTTATTTTATTTTTTGGGGGGGGGTCTGGTCGTGGGCCTGAACTCTGGGCCTGGGCGCTGTCCCTCAGCTCTTCAGCTCAAGGCTAGCGCTCTACCACTTGAGCCACAGTGCCACTTCCGGCTTTTTTCTTTTTGCTTATGTGGTGCTGAAGAATCGAACCAAGGGCCTCATGCATGCAAGACAAGCGCTCTACCACTGAGCCACCGTCCCAGCCCTTTTGTTTTATTTTTTAAAATCATTTTACAATTAATATAATTGTACAAAGTGGGGTTTCATTGTGATACTTCCACACTTGTATATAGTGTATTCTCATCAATCTCAACCCCTCTGCTCCTCTTACCCTTCTTCCTCCTTCCTAAAACAATTTCCATTTTCATACATAGGTTTTCTTCTACTTTCATACATAGAAACAAACACTTTGACTGTATTCATCCTTATTCATCCTTCTTCTTAGCCCAACCCGATCCCAAGATAACTTTTTGATTTTTGTTTGTTTCACTTCATGGGGGGACGGTGGTCTTGGGGCATAAACTCAGGGCCTAGGTGATGTCCCTGAGATTTGTGCAGAAGGTTAGTACTCTACCACACAAGCCACAGCTCCACTTCTGGCTTTTTGGTGATTTGTTGGAGATAAGAGTCTCACACACTTAACTACCTTTACTGCATTTGAACTGGGATCTTCAGGTCTCAGACTCCTGAGTAGCTAAGATTATAGGTATGGGCCACCAACACCCAACTTATTCCACATTTTTCTAACGAGAGAGGAAGTAGTAACTTCCAAGTTCTTTTATATATTAGACAGTAAAGTACAAGCCATATTTCCTCGCTATTTCTGGTGCCACCTTTGCTGCTTAATATCAAAGTTTACATAGCTACCTTATAATAAGTGGTTATAAAGTTCAGATTCATTGGTTCCTAAGCTATTTCTTCCTGTGATTGTACTGATACTTCTTTTCAGTAGCAGTTTCCTAAGGCTTATAAATGATGTACAAACAACTGACTTTGGGGGAGAAAATGGAAGAGAGCTTTAAAAGGGACTCAAAAGCAACTTTAAAAAACTTTTTTAGGAGCTGGGAAGGTGGCTCAGTGGTAGAGCGCTTGCCTTGCATGCCTGAGGCCCTGGGTTCGATTCCTCAGCACCACATAAACAAAAAGAAAAAACCTGGAAGGAGCGCTGTGGCTCAAGTGGTAGAGTGCTAGCCTTGAGCTGAAGAGCTGAAGGACAGCACCCAGGCCCAGAGTTCAGGCCCCATGACCGGACCAAAAAAACAAAAACAAAAAACTTTTTTACTCATGTAATTGTAACCCCTCTGTATGGTATTTTCACAATATAAAAAAATACAGTGAAAAAAAAACTTTTTAAAAATTCCTTTTTATTGGCTTTCTTTCACTCATAAAGCTCACCCAAGAAACCCAGTTTTAGAATCCACATTTCAGATAAGGATAATTAGAGACAAAGATACCTCATTTAGAACTCTGTTATGTCTTTGTTGCTGTACAATTAATTTCCAGTATTTAAAGAAAAAGATTCAGAGTTGGGCACTGGTGGCTCATGCCTGTAATCCTAGCTGCTCAGGAGGCTGAGATCTGAGGATCATGGTTCAAAGCCAGCCCCAGCAGGAATGTCCGTGAGACTCTTATCTCCAATTAACCACCGGAAAACTGGAAGCGGCACTGAGGCTCAAATGGTAGAGTACTAGTCTTGAGCTGAAGAGCTTAGGGACAGTGCCCAGGCCCAGAGTTCAAGCCCCATGAGTGACAAAAAAAGATTTGGGGCTGGTTATGTGGCTTAGTTGGTAGAGTTCTAGTCTTGAAAAAAAGAAGCTCAGGGATAGTAACCAGGCACTGAGTTCAAGCCCCAGCACTAGCAGGAAATAAAAGAAAAAGAAAAAGATTGTTCAGGTACTGTTTTTTTGTGTTTTTTTTAAATAACAAGATACATAAAGGATGGATGTAGATCAGTGGTACATCTCTTACCTAGCACACACAGGCCTGGATTCTACCCCAAAAATCATGGAGAAAAACATATATAAAATATTATAAGGATGGGGCTGGGAAGGTGGCTCAGTGGTAGAGTGCTTGCCTTGTATGCATGAGTCCATGGGTTTGATTCCTCAGCACCATATAAGCAGAAAAAGCCAGGCTCTGTGGCTCAGGTGGTAGAGCGCTAGCCTTGGGCTGAAGAGCTGAGGGAGTTCGGACCCCATGACCGACAAAAAACAAAAAAAAAAAGTAAAATAATATATATATATACACATATACATACACACACACACACACACACATATGTATTACAAGGAGGAGGTAACAATGCTCAATAGGAACTGTACTCATTACCTTACTCATGTAACTGTGACCTCTCTGTACAGTATTTTTTCAATAAAAAAATATAAACAAAAATATTACAACCTAATTCCCATGGTTTCAATGTAAAAGTTTCATATGTTTTAAGTGTAATGTGATATATTTAACAAAGTCATCTACATTAAATTCTCTCAAAATTAGAACATGTACATTGAGTAGAAAGAATATTCTTTTTTAATTTTGTTAATTTCTTCTTTGGGGAATGATGCCAAATTTGTGTTGCGTAGTAACACAATTTTAATCTCATTTAATATACTTTTGTTTGGTATTTGTTCTGTCAACTAATCTAATAATATATCTAGTTTAAAATCTTTTGTAGTATTTTAGTATTTCATTGTATTTATTAACTTTAAAAATTCTTTTCAGTCTCGCAGTGTGGATAAGCAACATGCCGTAATCAATTATGATACCGCTGCAGATGAACATTTGGTGAAAGATTTAGGCAGCCTGAATGGGGTAAGTTGATTTCTCACAGCTTCCTCTTTCTGATGTACCAGCACAGGGGCTGTAGTTCAGAGACCTGAGTCTGAATTACTGTTCTAGATGCTGAGGCCTCGATTATAACTCCTTTTTCTGTACCCCATTTTTCTTCCACCTATACACAAGAGGTAAAGTTGTGATTGAATGGTGTTGCAATAGAAACAAATCTTACTTAGTTTCCTGTATGTAATTTATTAGTGTGTTTGTTTTTTTTTGGGGGGGTGGCGGTCATGGGGCTTGAACTCTGGGCTTGGGCACTATCCCTCAGCTCTTCAGCTTAAGGTGAACACTCTACCACTTGAGCCACAGCATCACTTCTGGTTTTCTAGTAGTTTATTGGAGATAAGAGTCTCATGGAGGGGCTGGGAAGGTGG